ACCATAATCAAGCGAGAGCTGAATAATTCAGCCACACCTTGGCTACTGCTAGCCGATCCCAACCCCAAACTCGAGGTTTGTTCGTGTCGTAGTAAAATCTTTGAATTCAACAAAGTTAAGTGTATAGATTTGAAAATCCCACAAGCTTATAGAAGGCGGTGTCTTGGTTCTGCGTATGGATGGATTGTGATGATAGGTTTGGACGACAGGCAAGTTTCGTTATTTAATCCCGTCACTAAAGCACAACTAACCCTACCATCCCTTGCATCTTTGCCGGTGTTACGGAATTCTTCTAGGAGATATGAAATTATGCGGAGAGCAATAATGGATGTTTGGAAACCCATTGAATTTACAGTACTCAAGGCAATTGTATTAAAAATCGATGACAACAGACTTTGTTGTAATGGTAATCTATTATCACAATTTACAGCCTATAATAATACCCCCTTAACGTCTCTTTAACATATATGCGTAAATAGTTACAATCCAAACATATTTCAATAATAACAAAATAAAATTATGGATTTTCACTATATACTCCCGAGTAATTTTTTTATTCATCATATACCCTTCATATTCACCATATAATCATGAATTTCACAAAAATGTCGCTAAATATCCTTAATGACTAACGACAGTTTACTCTGTTAGTCATTAAGGTTAATTAAGTCACGTGGTAGCTTCCAATTGGCTATTTTTTTTAAAAATATTGTATTACTTATTTGAAAAATTAAAATATTGTATTACTTATTTGAAAAAAAAACCCCCCTTTTTCGATCTATTGCCATCCCCATCCCCTTGCCGGCAATCGGCCAGTCCCTTTCCGTCGCCGGGGCCAGGCCTCCCCCGTCGGCGACCGGCTAGTCTCTTTCCGTCATCGGCATCAGGCCTCCCCCAGCCGGCGGCTACCACCGTTACATCCCCACCCCTCCCTAATGCCCCAAACCTCTATTTTTCTCTCTCCTTCTGCACGAGCCCATACCCCTCCCCCATTCCGATGCCAGCATCGACCCTACCCTACGCCCCAGCGTCCCTCTCCCTTGCCCCTAAATCACGATCCCCCATTCTCTCCCACAAAACCCTAGAAAAACCCATCCCCGACCCCTAAAACCTCTCAATCGCCTTTCCTCCACCATCGAAAACCCTAACCACTAGGGTTTCAGGGTGGGCGAGGGGCGATTAGGGGGTTTCAAGGGTGGGGGGTGGGTTTTTCTAGGGTTTCGTTTGAGGGAAAAGCGTTTCGGGGTCGGGATCGTGGTATAGGGGGAGTGGTGACGATGGGGGAGGAGCGACGCCGCTACGGGAGAGGGTTTTTGGGCGTTAGCCGCAGGAGGGGGACTGGGGCGCCACCTAGGATGAGGGATGGTGGCAGCGAGTCTGGTGGAGGTGTGGTTGGTTTGGTGGGTTTTTTTAATAACTATTTTTTTAATTGTTATTTTAAGGTTTTTTTTAATAATTAGTTTAATTTAATAATTTAAAGGAACAATCAATCAGAAGTTGCCACGTGGCCTAATTAACCTCACTGTCGTTAGTCATTAAGTGCATTGAGTGACATTTTTGTGAAACTCATGACTATGTGGTGAATTTGAAAAATTTCATGGGTATATGGTAAATAAAAAATTACTCAGGAGTATATAGTAAAAAATTCGTAATTTCAATATGTATGCACATGTTGACCCACCAGGCCACCATGAGTCCATGAACCAATTTTAAATATGCCTTGAATCAGTTAGACATAATTCGTAATTGAACACAAATTTTATTTGACAACTTAAGCAATACTCCCTCCGTATTTTATACATGCTCCACTTTCCTTTGCGGTCGTATTTTATTACTTGCTCTATTTCCTTTTTTGTAAATTTTTAACAATATTATACTATTTACCTCTCCACTAGTGATCCTCTCACATCATATTTTAACTAGTTTTTAGGCCCGAACGATGCCCCGGATTACCGCATTATTTCCATGATAGAAATCCTTATTAATATTTAATTTTGATAGAATGACAAATAATATGGTAATAGCTTAGTAGCTAACATGTTAGAGTTTAAGTTGAAGGTTGAAGGTTGTGGGTTTGAATCTTGTAAGATATCCATACTTTTGAACATATGGAATGAAAAGTACTTGTACCATCTCTCTTATAGAGGCGTAACATGTACCAAGGACGACTATCAACTGAAGTGCCCTGCTATAGGTGTATTTTATTATTATTATTATTATTATTATTATTATTATTATTATTATTATTATTATTATTATTATTATTATTATTATTATTATTAATTACTCCATATTATTAACTTTATTTCTTTGTAGTTTCTTTTTTTATGTTTCTGTCGACCTTGTCTATTTTATTTTCATAGGGTTTAGATTGTTTTTCTAGTTTTTGAAGTTCACATCGTTAAATTAATCATTTAAAATTCCATGTTTTTCTATATTTTTTCTGCAACTCGACTACCAAAATTCTAATACTCAAAGAAATAAATTATTGTTAAAATCAAATATTGTCTGAAATTAATTTTACTTTTATTTGACTAAAATCATTATGATAAAATAAATCTTGTAAACGTCTAAATTTATATCTTATTCGTATAACCTGATCAAACAAAGAATGTAGAATTGTAGAGTAATAATCATATACTTTATGCAACTCAGCAATTTAACCACCGAATTTCTGATATAAAGAAATAAATTATTGTTAGAGAGAGAAGAGGAAGCTTTCCTTAATGGTTTTAATCTTTATCTTACACTTATAATCAGAGAGATAACTTTGATTTTTTTTTTTCTTTTTTTTTGGAAAGGGGATAACTCTGATATATCATTAGTTTACATATAACAAACTTTCCTTAAATAATAGTTTGTTACGAGATACAAAATACCAAATATTACATGTATCCCATATTATATTGATCTTGGGAAATGGACGGAAGGATTGAAAACCTATAATTTGCTAATACATTAAATAGAGCTTAAAAAGACACTAAAAAACTAGTGCGTTAAGTAAAAGGGGAAAATAAAGTGTTCATGGCTAACAACACATATTGAGTGACTCGGTAGCTATAACTGTGGGTACCTGTAATTAGTCCCTTCTCTAAGAAAAAGAAAACCTAAAACCTTTCCCTAATAACATAAATAGCTTAATATTTTTGTAAGAGACTTTCCATCATGTACAACATTTTATACATTTCCTATACTATTTTTTAATTAACCATAAATCTCTTTATGTTGGTACATGATGATATCCATTGGTTTTGTTGTTGTTGTTGTTATACTATTTAACCATTATCATATCTACTCTCATGATATTAAAATGATAACAATTATAGCATAATATCTAAGATATAGATTTTTTTTTTGAAGGGAAGATCAATTCATTAATAAGAAGTCATACAACATCTACAAAAGAAATAAAAAACGATAAATACAATGAAAATTGGATCAAATAATAATTCTAATTCTGTAGAACTACGATCGCAAGTGAGATTTGACATTGATGAATACCCTTATCTCTTAAATCGCTGTCCTCTGCAGCCTTCTACAAGGGGCCTTGCGATGTTTGATAGTTTTTGAATTGAACAAAATATGATTCAATTAGATATATCTTAATATCAAAGATATATGTATATATTTGACAATACAATGGTAAGGGGCATTATACATGCCAAAAACTAGTTAACATATGTAGTACCTACTATATAAATCCCCAAATTTTCCTTATGGAAGACCCCAAATATTTCATTTTGGGGAGCAGTGTTGAGAAAAATAAAATATCTAAGTCGAGGAATGAGAATTCATGGCTAAGCTAAAACTAACCTTCCATTACTTTGTTGACGGGATATTAACACCCAAAAAAAAAAAAAAAAAAAAAAAAAGTAATAACACCCAAATAACAAGTTAAGGACCAACCCTAATAAGAACCAAAACAAATCACAAAATTAAAAATCCCCAAAATTACATGAATCCAAAATCCAAAAGTCTTCTAAAGGAGCTTAATTTATTTTGTATTATATTGAAGGAATATTATGGTCAAAGTTTATTTCCTTTCAAATAAGCATTTCAAATTAAACAAACAAAAAGAACGGAAAGAATATGATATTTCATTAATCGGCCATTTTATTTTATTTTTCTTGAAAACAAATTCTTTTTTTTTTTTTAATGAAAGTAACACTCAAAAACGTTGAATGATTAAAAGGGTTATTTTATGTGTTGGATTTGTCAAATGTCAAAAACAAAAAAAAAAATGTGTTGGATTTGTCAAAAAAAAAAAATAATAATAAATAAATAAATAAAAAATTATGTGTTGGAGATACGATTATAAAAGTAAGCGCTAAAAGATTATAAATTAGAGGTATACTCCAAGAATCAAGCTAAGAATATACCCAAAATAGTGGTATGTCGCACAGTTGAAGACTTTAAAATAACAAAGGGCCAACTATGGACTAAGTTACTATTACATTTAATTAAATAATGACATTTTTCATACTATTTTTAAATTTGCCCCAACTTATCGCAACAGTGGTATACCATAAAAACAATGTTGCATTTTCAGAGACAATAAACTCTGACTTTCCTTGCTTTTATTATAAGAAAAAATTTATAAATATATATATAGATAAAATTTATAAATAAACATTTAAAATTTTGAATTAAAAAGAGCATAAAAACCACACATTATTATTTATTACTTCGTAATTTAGTAAGAATGTATTTGCAATTGTAATTTTATATTAAAAAAAAAATCATTTCGAAAGTAAAAGAAGGTACATAAAATTATCATATTTTGGAAATTAAATTTCAGTTTAATAACCTAAAAAACCAAGTTAAGGTTGAATATGCCACGGAAAAAATAAATCGATGTAACCTTTTTTTGTGACAAATAAGTTATAATGCTAGCCAGGTTCTAGCTAGTAAAAATTGACAGATATATGTAGACCAAAATATAACAAAAATATGTTTCAAAAAAAAAATATAACAAAAAGATGTTTCAAAAAAAAAAAATATAACAAATATAAAATAGAGCATGCATGCATATAGATTAATAATTGTCTTACAAAGGTTCATAAGAAAACCTTAAAATTAAAGGAATATATTAAAGATAGTACTATATTGTCTATTTTATTTAATATAAAGAGCTAGCAAAACACGAAAACATTCTTCTACCATCCAACGCTCCAATTGATCAGCAACCACCATGCATGCATGAATCACGATGTTGCTAGCTGATGATCGACGACACTACTAATAACCCACTGGCTTTGGAACTATGCCTCCGGCTGCCCGAATCTGCTGCTCCAGCTACACACATTCATAAGCACACATTATTAGCACGTCGCAATATTAGGTTATCGATCACCCCCTCCCTACCATATTAGTTGTAACATTTTTTTTTTTTTGCAACTCTAGACCCTTTTATGGATATGATCGACTTGATGAGCTAAGAAGTTTAAATTAATAAGTGTCTGATTAACAATTTTGAACATTATTACTTGAAGCCTTGAACATTATTACTTGATCACAAATTAAAGCATCGAGTTAATCAATTAAGTGTACGTAATTTAAGAGTAATGAAAATTTCTACTCACAATAAGTAAGGCCTCCAGCTTGAGCTTCACCAGTGCAAATGCATTGCTTGTTTGTTCCCAGCACTTAAAGCACCTATATATAATAAAGTGTTTTTAATAAAATGAAGTCTTTAAATATTTTTAGAACTATATTATAATATAAATATACAAAGTGATAATATGTACAAAAATACATAGTATAAAGCATACCCTTCAATGTCTTGCTCTTTACAGCAAGCTACAAATGCATTACATGCATTCAGCACACAGATTGCACCGATGCTGCAGTAATTAAGAGAAGAGAAAATTATCAATCATTTGCAAACATTTTAATTTCTTGATTATTAGTCAAATAATTATATCCATTTTTTGGAGAAAAAAAATAATAAATAAATAAAAACTGTTTGTGGTAACTTGCTAGAAGAACAAAGTGTGTGAGTGTGTGACATGTGTGAGCGTTTAAGGTCAATAGTCAAAACATATTTTTAGCTCATCACAGAATATAATACTTGATTATAAAGTATACTTTTAAGGGCAAATATTCACCCAAAAACATCAACGAAAAATATATATAGTGTTGTGGAATGATATCCGAATCTCGTAATCTATATTCTTGTAAAATGATAATTGACACGTCGGAATCAAATCTTGTAATTCTCAATTATTGTTAAAAAAAAAATTTAATATCAACTCAAAAGAGAGATGTCGGAATTAAATTTCGTAATCATTAGTCTATATCAATATATAATATCCGATATGTCAAAATTAAACTTTGTAATCCTCAATTATTATTGAAGCAAAATATAATACAAACAAATCTCGTAATTCATATTCTAGTGGAATGAAAACCGACACATCAGAAATTATTAAACCTCGTAATTCTCATTTATTCTTGAAACAAAATTTAATACAGACTCAAAAAAAGATATGTCGGAATTTAATTTCGTAATCTATAGTCTTGTGGAAAATACATACCCGACATATCAAAATTAAATCTCGTAATCCTCAATTGCTCTTGAAACAAAATCTATTACGTACGTACAAGCAAAAGGGCTTTTTTTTTTTTTTTTTTTCGACAGTCAAACAAAGGGTTGCTAGCAACTAAATAAAGTAAAAAAGAACTCAACTTGAATAACGAAATAAAAAGCAGTAATCGAATAAAACTCAAGAAAATGGAAGAAGTATTTTTTTTTATTTATCTTTTATTTTTCACTAACACCCTTTCTGTTAAAATTTTATCATTTAAAAAAATTGTCAAAGCAACTAAACTAGATAAAAAATAATATCAATTAAGCCCAGATTCTCTGAATGTTGTCAGATTATAAATTATGATATACCTTCATTAGCAATCAATTACACTCTTAATCAACAATTAATATCAACATTAACAACCAATTACAAATAATGAGAAAGATTAATTACCTTGAACTGCTGCCCTTTATATTATGGATAGTCTTATCAAGTTTCACGAAGTCCACATATTGCTGTTGCCTGCATAATTTCATCCATTCATTAAGATAAAATGAATTAATTAATTTAATTAATCACACTAAAAAATATTTAATTAGAGAGAGAAACTAAACAGATCCAGAGCCAAGCTATGTATGAGTTTTGGCATATCTCCAAGATAACTACTCAGAATTTCTGATAAAAAATTTGGGTTGGAATTATCTTGCATATTTTGGACACGATTGAATTGATCATCCATAATCCCCTGTTTTTACAAGAAAATAAAACAGAGATTAATAATTAAGAAGCTTAATTAGAGTGAGAAACAAGATTAATAACATTAATTACAATAACTAGTACCTGAGCAATCAAAGAGATGGCATACTCAGCATATTTGTTCTGCATTTCAACAACTCTAGAATTCATTTTTTTTTCAAGAAAATTTTCTCTCTCTAAAATAAAAGAAGAATGTAAAATGAGAATTTCTTTTGTTGTGATTTTTATGAGAAGGGGTTATTCATTTATATAGTAGTAGAATTGATAATTGTATGTATGTATAATGTGACATGAATAATGTAGTCAATTAGTCAAAGAGAAGAACACATTAATTAGTGAGTTACTATTGTTTGGCGTTTAATTTTTTCTTGTGTAATAATCGTGTAATTTGGCTAAGAACGCTTTTTTTGTGTGTTAGAGTCACATGGTAATGACACATTTGAATAAAGCCCCCACCAAAGCAGTTTAGGCCTTAATTTTTGGCCCATGTTTTTCATTCCAACTCACATGATAGTGCACATAAAACATTCCATTTGTAAATCTAAAAGAATTTCTACTTGCGTTGTTTTCATGACAACGTTTACGTTTATTTGTCTATCTTCTAAAAAAAATAAAATAAAAAACTTGTTCGAATTATACACTTTTACGTACATACTTGTATAAATTAAATGCGTATCTAAGATTTTTTGCGTTCATTGGACATGATTTATTGTCAATTCAATACACGCTCATATTTTTAGAAAAATACGATGGAACACGTGTCTTCACAACCATACTAAATCCGCTTATGATATTGTAAAAATCTCCACCAAATCCAAGAGTAATAATTTGATATCAGATTACCGCCTTTATTGGATGACTTGAACTCACAGTTATGGATTATGGAGTGATACTTTCAGGTCTAAGGTGACATTAATACAATATTTTTTTTTTTATTTTTTTTTTTTTTTTTTTGTTTTTTTTTTTCCTTGTGCTTGGTCTATTTGATGGGACAAGAGGTTTAGTGTAACAATTCTAGTCGTTATCGCAATAGTATATATAGAATATTGCTAGCTATATTTATGCTCGTCTAATTTTTTATTGGATATTTTCTACACAACAAAATACATATACGAAATATATAACAATAGATATAATATTACAAGTTAGAATTTCACTACTTTAAAATAATACGAGTAATACAATATTACAATATACTTCATATTTGTGTGAATATAAATGTACTCATTTTTTTTTAAGTATCCACTTTATTCTATTATTTGAATATAAATGTACTCATTTTTTTTTTTTAAGTATCCACTTTATTCTATTATTAACAATTTTTTTAATGCCCTATCTCTATTTTTTAATGTATCCACTGTATTCTATTTTTAACAACCTACTCATACTTTGTTTACTCCACATTATCTCACTCACCAATCAACTTTCCTAAGAATATACCGTAATTAGATTAAGTCATTAAAAGAAAACAGGAGAAAGTAATAAGATTCAAATGCATGAAAACACCCTTTTTCATGTCTTTAACTTTGATCACGTACTACTACTACAACTACTACTCTTTCAAAAACTATACTAGTTTCATGTTTTGTGCAATCAACTACATGAAATTATTATGATTTGTCTTGCTTTGTTAATTAATTAAGGTACTAGAATTTCCTTTGTAGTATATAATAGGCTTAATTAGCATCTAAGCTTGCTTGACTCTTGTGTCCTTTATTTAACTATTTGTCAATATTGTCATATATGAACATATTACTTTCTTATTTATCAATTTGTTCATCACCCCATTTACCCTATATAACTTAAATGATTTCCAATGTCCTTCTCGTTATGTAGCTAAAGTTTGTTGCGCCTAATTAATATATAGAACATGAACCATGTTTGTGTACGTGTTTCTTGTAGCCTTTCTTGGAGCGCCTAAGCTTAGTGAAGACATGCAAGCGCGGAATAACCTTTGTAGCCTTTGTATTTCAGTACATGCCGGCAATGACAATGTAAAAGACATGCAAGCGCGAAATAATCCATTGGTATTTTAGAATAGATATGTGTAACACTTTGACTTTTGCATGCAATCATATGATGTTATAAATTTTCATAAATTTTACTAATAAAAAGTAGAAGATTGCATAAAGTTGTGTTGCTTGTGCATTGGCAGATTTGTCAAACAAGTTGTTGCAATACAATATGTTTTGAAACAGATAAAGTAAGATGTTTTTTAGGAGTAGATCAAAAAGGAAAAACTCTTGTTATCTTACAACTTGAATCTTCACGATTTTGTTACTAATATATAAAAAGTTGATCAAAAGAAGCTTGGCTCGTCCGAAATTTGCCCAATTGTTAAAATTTGTTTGAGTTTTGGGCAACCTAATTTTAATTCGTAGTTTTATAACTTGGGCCTATTTGAAATGGTTAGAAAATCTGCGTCTTTGCCCAAAATAGGGAATTTGGGCACAAATTTTTGTTGCCTAAATTTGAAACCAATCCGGCCTAAAACAGTAACTTTATTGGCCTAGACCCGAGCATCCGACCTATGATCAAGTCTACTAAAATACTATTTTCCTTTATTATTAGATACGACTCATATGGTAATTAATAGTCAGATCAATAGGTGAGGGCCGGGTAACACTAGAAAACTAGCACTCCTAGTTCATGTAATCTTTTACCTAACGACCTCTTTCTTTTTTGTAGAATCTTTTCAAAATTCTACATCAACTTACTTTATTAGATCTTGTACCCTACAAGCCTTTCCTTATTATGGCTTTAATTTGTTGTTGATGTTGATGCAGTTTGTTTGGTGACAATTAGTTATTGGTGGAAAAATAATAAAAAGTTAACAGATCAAAGACAATTTAATTTGATAATAATAGGCTAATAGCCACTAGTAAGGTATTTATGTACCCTTTTACCTTTTTGGCTTTACTCCAGCCATGGTTTTCAAGAATCTTCCTATCCTTGTCAAAATAAGATATGTTTGTATTAGTACTCCATAATTTCTTTTCTTTTCTTTATTCACATAAGCACTTCTTTAGTTGAAGTTAATTAGTCTCAAACAAAGGACAAATCTAACTCATTGATCATTACGGATGATTCAAAAAAATATAACTTAGTTATAAGTCGATTAACTATGTAATTAATCACAAATTCACACATTATATATGATCAACCATGTCACAACGACTTTTTGTATGGTTTTACTCCAATTCAAGCTAGTAGCAACACTATGAATGTAAGTAACAATTCTCCATCTAGTCAAGTAAGCAATATTTTGTCAAGCCAAATGAACACCAGCCATCCAAGGTTGAGCAACACTATGAATTAGAGATTAACCAATGACCTAATTAATTGGAACCCTAACAACGTGTTGATATATATACTAGTATATGTTCGCGTGAGAGAATTATAGAGATGGATCGATATATTGTTGGAGTTCATGTAAATTCATTTAATTATTTCAAGTAAACTCACACTCAACATAATTGAATCAATGATATGAGTCATAAAATTAAATGAACTACTCCTTTGTTAAGAAAAAATGATTGCTTTACACATTGCTCTTAATAGGGTGAGGACCACTCTATTGTATAAACGACTAATGAAGATGATCAATCCAAGGCTTGAAAAGGCATCTCAACATGGGGCCACTACTAGTGAAATTAACAATCATTGAAATAATTATTGGTACAATACTACAAATAGACACTTCAAATAAGTGAATCTAGTGTGAAAAAAATTAAAGAGAAGAAGAGAAGATCAACCTCTCATTTATTATTACTTTCAATCTAAATTTACCTTATCATCAATGATTACTGAAATTATGATCAACGGTTGTTAAAAATAAAAAAATAGAGAGAGAGAAAGAGAGAGAGAGAGAGTGTTAAGAATTGAATGTCGAAGTCATGATAGAAAATTGGTTAATGTGTAACAAAGATTAAATAAATAGGGGAGTTGTTAAAAAAAACCACAAGGAAAGTTTATTCAAAAAAAAAAAAACAAGGAAAGTGAGGTCCAATCGCAAATGACAATAGGTAAAAGGATTTTGTTTTTCCCCATATTGGCATGAAGATCTTTTTATTAACACTAGTGAGAGGATCTAAAGATGATAATTGTGATTAATTATTAGATACATCTTTTAACCTTAATGCTTATTCTACCATGTTATATCTCCATATTGACTATGATAATAATGCCATAAGAGTTGTGTATAAACCTCGAGATTATTTCCTAAATTGGCATTAACATAGACGTATTAATCTGGAATAATCACACGTTGAATCGATAAAATGTTTAGAGTTCATTCATAACTGTTTATGTTTTTTTAGACTACTAAAAAAGAGAGAGAGAGAAAACCACAAAAAGTGGCTTCCAATTATTAGTTGCTAATTTCAAAAGTAATAAAATTATAGTTCATGATTTTAGAAATCTTAGAGCAAGATTAGCCCTAAGTCTTAGATTTCACATGAAATTATCATTTTGGGTTTTAAGACAAGACTCTTTGTCTGATCCCATTTTTCTTGAGAAATCTTAGCTAATTTTAAACTCAACATAAGACTTGAGTGTGGCCCTACTTTATTTTGTTTATTATTATTAAGAGTAAAAAATAAAAATAAATAATATATAATATATAATAATATATGGTATGAGAAGTCTTAAGTGAGTTTAGAGCTAATAAAGTGTTAAATATGAGTGAGTATTAAAAGAGTCTTAACTAATACAATGACATCATTTTTAATGGGACCTATCAAAAAGTGATGTCATTTTAAGTCTTAAGACTTTAGGGCTAATCTTGCTCTCAAAACCTAAAATTGAAGATTGACAATGATTGTGTAAAAAAAAAAAAAAAAAAAAAAAAAAAAAAAAAAAAAAAAAAAAAAAAAAAAGAAAAGACAATGATAAGACAAGCCCATAGTTAATGCTAAGTGTTTCTAATTTAAATTCATGTGCAATAACCAATACTATTTGCTCACATAAATGATGAGACATAAAAAAGAGATGGATAGCTAGATTGATTGGATTCTAAAAACTGATTGAACCAATTTTTATCAAGATACATGTGGCCTATAATATTAGAAAATGAAGGGGGAAAATAGGAAAATTTGATAAGATGAAAATTGTTCATCAATCCATTCTAGGCATTATAGGCAAATACCCGTGAGGTATAACAAATTAACAATTGGAAGAAAACAAAAAGAACAAAAAGATAAGAGAGAGGAGGAAAATTAAGATGTAACAACAAAAGTATTAATTACTGGTAGAAAAAAAAGACGGATGTGAGGAGGGGAAAAAAAAAAAGTAAAATCACAGAGGTTTTACACGTACCATTGAAAGTTGTTACTTACTCAGTATAACACTAGATTATTTAGACATGCAGTGTTACTACTTATTTATGAATTTAATGGTCTATAGCACACACATCAAAATTGATAAGATAAAAGAAACCGGGAAAATAATTAACATTTTTACAAATTGTCTTGGTACATATGGTGAAATTCATACCGAGTAGGTTTTAATTCTTCCAATTGATTCACATTAACGAGTCTAACTTGTACTCCCTCTATCCCCTTTTATTTGCATCATGAGCTCATTTTATGTGAGAGCTTTATGAGTCATATGGTGTAAACAAAAAGGGACAAAGGGAGTAAGAAATATGGGGTGGTGACGCTGTTGGCTAGCGCGTATGTCTCATAGCTTGTAAGAAATAGGGGCAAGATTGGCATTAAAATTTACACAAATTAAGCCTAATGAAGGGCTGTTTTTTTTTTTCTTTTTCTTTTTGACAGGCTAGTCCGCTAGTGAATTGCTTCTTATATGGGTAGAAATTCAAAATTGATTAACATAACAATTAATTTAAGATAAATGGAGTATTTAAGTTGTTGAAATTAAATACGAAGTACTCCCTCCGTCTCTTAATTTTTGCCCCATTTCAAAAATATGGGTCAAATTTTTAAAACTTTGACCATGAATTCTTGTTAATCTATAAGTGATAATATATTCATGTGAGATCATGTTAAAATCGTCTCATTGTATATAGTTTATTAATATCAAATTTTTATAATTTTTACACGTGTAGAAACGGAGATAACTGCGTTTAAAGACGCGTCTTGGAGACCGTGAAAAGTCAAATGGGGTAAAAAATAGAGGACAGAGGGAGTAGTTGATTACAAAAATGTACTCCGTAGTAGACAATTTTACTTAAATTTGTATTGCTGTGTTGCCTTTCGGTCTATCAGAAACAGTAAAAATTTACATGGATGTATCATGTATGACCCGACCTCATTCTTTTGCACTCCAGATTCCACATTCCAGTACTCTCTGACACCATGCTTGAATGAGTCAAAAGACAATGACCAACCCATACTCAAATCTTGAATTCAGACGCGATCAATACCCAAAACATACTCGAAACAGGATGACCCGAAACTAACACAAACCAAAATTAATCCAAACCAATACATAAACTCGAACCAAAGGTCTCCACATCCCAATATGACCCAACTTGTACTTAAACTGAAAGTTTCCTCACTCGGAATAGTCATCAAATATGAGCCGAACCTGAATTGGACAACCCGTTTTCCACAATTCCACCTCTAAGCCTAACAGCCATGCACATTCTATGTGAGACTACTTTCAAGAAAATTAGATCAAAAACAAGTAATAATTATAAACCATCCTTGGTTATTTGTTATCACCAAAGATTAATATACTACGTATCAGATTTTAAACCTACCACAAGAAGGCCAGCATGAACCATCTATCAGACTATAACGTTTATAATCAGACGAAAAAAAAAAAAAAAAAAAAAACATGCTTGGAGATAAAAATGTACAGCAGAACTAACAATCATTCAATTTTATTTTTCTTTCCTTTTTTCTTATTTCTAATTTTTCTTTTTTTTTTTTTTTTCCTTGAAGAAGAATTTAGTGTTACATATAGCATTACAAGAACATATGATCACAGAAATCATCAGAACTATTTCAATCTACAACATGTACAGGTAAACTAGAAGAATGGAAAACCAGAAGCACTTGCTTTGGTAGCAATGACACAAAAGAGGTAAGAAAAGTGAATTAAGAAAAAAATATACATCGTACCCCCCGAGTGAATGAGTCTGTTCAACAGATGCAATATTGAATGGCTATGATGGACTGAAAACCTTAAAATTACTCGAAACATCACCCTCCATGTGGCTGAACGCTGACCAGAATTTTACTATATTTGGCACAAGTCCAGCACAAAGAGAGCCGACTGGGGTTTGCTTCTCATCCTACAAAAGAACAGTATGAAGATATCAGATTTAAATACAGTAATTCTGCAGATTACATCCTACAAATTCGAAAGCGCTAAAATGAACTGCAGCAGTTTACAGAACACATTGAAAGTGATAAATGCACCGCAAACAATACAAAGGAAGGATAGATGTAGCTTAGGGATACACAATAAGGGTCCAATCTCAGACATCAAATGATAATTTTACAGAGTATTAATCCTTGGATAATTAATTGCCCTTATTCGTTTCTCAATAGTCATATGGTGAGATTAGGGTGGCTGTTAGATGCCAATTAGCTTAATTCATTAAAATCTTGGTGGAAAGAGGGTACCCAAGGCCAAAGATTAAATTCCGTCTACACTGCCCCTGCTGGACTAGTGGACTCTCTCTACACCAAAAAAAAAAAAAAGAAAAAAAAAAGTGTGGTTGGCTGTGCAAGTATATATAGACATGCAAATGTATATAGTTGTTTCCCATTATTAAAAACTTGTGATAGTTTCCTAGCAACATCATAGCATGTTCACGCCTACTGAGACCCTGTCGCAACCATCTACTGCATTCAATAGTCCTGGGTCACACCAACTCAACCCTATCATATGCAGAAAATTTTAATTATATAATTTTTGACTAAAAACTTTGGGTTTAAGTTTCTGGTAAAAACAAAAGCACTGCCATAATTCAATATGTATCTGGCTGTCTATGGGACTGCTGTTGAGAGCCACCTCTCAAAGACCACATGAAGCCTCCCATGTCTTCCTTGATCAGACCAGCTCAACTGATAATATCCAACTAGTCATTCTTACATTTTTCTTTTAATTTCATTTCTTTCGGCATACCTTGTGACAAATTCCTATATGTCTAAGATGTAGATCACCACATTGTACATGATCTTGACCAGTCATGAGTGTAAACAAGCTGTGTCTTTTTGAGGTTAGTAGCATAATTATTTCTAACAATATACATCTAAGACGTATCAGGTCAAGAAACATAGAATAAGGCGAGGCTAAAGCAAATCAGGTCAAAGATAAATGTATTGTTAACTATGCACTTTAATTAAGGTGAAGCTACAAGTTCATACCTTCTTCAGAAAAGGCAAATACACCTCCAAGCAATTCATCGTTCTCACCATCTTCTTCAGACTTCTCTTTCTCGCGGGGGCTGCTGCTACTATCTACATCAGTAACAACTTCTGATAGCTCATGGCTTTCGTCAAGAGGTGCAGCTTTACAATATTCCTCTTCGAAAAAACCCCCAAAATCTAGTGGGTCTTGAACAGAGCTCTCATCAGCAACGTTCATACTAAAATCAGAACGGTTAGAACTAACATTTGAAGCTTCACTGCCTCCCACACTGCTGGACGATTGAACTTCCTTTGGGTTAGCTCTTTCAGCTGAGAGTGAGGCATTCTTTACAGGGGATGGACTATTTACAAGGCAGCTGTTTTCAGGTGGTGAGATTTCCATGGTGGAAGTATCATCAGTATTTAATGAATTTTGAGTCAGTAAAGGTGAAGGAAATTTAGAAGAGACTTTCATCCCATTATTAATGATCTGATTTTGCGCAATTCCCAAATAAGACTTGACTGCATCCATCTGTGCATCTGGTGCAAAGGAACCTGACAGAAAATGCAGAAGATAATTTAGATCACAGAACCAAAAACAGACAAGCAAAACAAGCTTAAAAATTTTCTTACCAAAATGGGAGTTCTGTACAGTTTGAGGATGGACAATGGCAGGAGATGGATACTTGTCATCAGCCAAACGGGATTCAGATCTAGAAGTAGAATAACCAATTGCACCCCTAAAAAAAAGAATGAGATTACAAGGATGACAGTAAGAGAAAACCATGCATGGAATATATCTGCCCATCATAGATGATCATGCAAGGCGCCAAGGCTGTAATTGTGTTCAGAGAAACAATTTAAGTATAACTCCTCTAACTTAAAATGCGTGAGACTATACAACAGCTCTACAGAATGGACATGCACCAGAATCACAGTAATAACAGGATTACAGGAAGCCAAAATCAATTATAGAAATCAAAAGGTAATCTTTTTATATTTTCCTTATTACAAGTTACATGAACTTGAGTGCTGAGAATTTAACATGGGTAACTTTCAAGCCATTCTCTGCTAGCAATTTAAAACATTCTTATAAAACAAAAAAAGTCCAAGGCTTATATACAATCAAACTTGATTCAAATTGTACCAACAGCCTGCCTATTTAGTAGACAATAACAAAAACAATAACAGTAGTTTGCACATATTTGCAAGGATAACCTCACGCCCAAAGTCCATAGTACTACAATGCCATATCAAATACTAAGTTTTATTTAGTTGTTCTCACATAACTTTTTAAAAGTCAAAGTTAGTAAAACGTTGATTGTATTAGATACTTAATCAACAAAACATCATAATTCTGTTAAATTCAACGCAATTTAACTTTCAAATTATAAATTTTAATAATGTTTTTAAGTACTTAGCCACTGATAATAATGGTCAAAGATGTGAATTAGAGACCTAGATATAAAAAAAAAAAAACAAAAAAACAAAAACAAAAACTTTTATAAAAAAAGGCCATGTCATTTTTCTTCTGAAATGTCCATAGCCAGCTGTTACATATATAGATGTAGAAAAATGAGTGGGAATGGGGGTTTAGAGAAAAACATAACTACCTTCGTTTCAAATTATTTGCAACGATTTGACATAAAGAGTGAGTAGAAAATATTTAATCGCTACAAATAATTTGAAACGAAGGTAAAACTCTGTATTTGAGAAGGGTTAATGCCACATGCCCAAAAGCAATACATTCTCTGTTTCTTGATACCAACAACACTTCCATTTTCACGCTTGCCAATGCATAATTTCAACAATTAATATCTTTAGTTCTCAATAAGTAAAAGTTCTAAAAAATTTATATTTTGAAAGGATACTTTCAAGACAAATCAAGCAAGACCCCAAAAGACTAACATTTAACATGAATATAAAACACCACAGATTTCAAAGTAGATTTTTGAATAATGCAAAAGTCTAAAAGGGGGTGAAATATTAACAAAACATGTACACAGGTGAAAAAGGAATTCACAACAAACAAAAAATGCAGCAAACAACCAAATTTACATCAGCTAGATAAAATCATAAAAATAAGCTTATTCCTTGGTGATGACTATAGCAAGCTTTTGACACCAATACGGAAAGAGTTTAATAATGTGGTAGTTAACTGCCAAACAAAGAGAGGGTGGGCCAATCAATTGCAAGGAGGTATTTATACCTGTTGTTCCAATCAGGTTTCACATTGTGAAAGTGCTCAAAAACAGGCAACAAATCCTTCCTCTTTATTTCAATCTCGAGATGTGAGACCTTTTCGATTTCAATTTCTCCACCAATATTATCATCGACAGAAGATTTCTGATCGTCAGGCACCATAGAATTCATAGCGAAGAAATGTATCTACAAGCCAAATAACAAAGTGAGTTAGGGAATAACAATTCATAGATAAATACTTCCTCTGTTTTATTTTAATTGACACATTTTTTAAACACCTTTGCCAATGCATGTATTCAAACATTGATATGTTCAATAATCAATAAGAAAATAGTATAATAAGTATATATGTGGAAATTTTATTTTGAGATGAATCTAACAAGACCCAACATGACTTTTATTTTCTCAAAGTATAAAGCACGAAAGGAAGTCAAATTAACTAGAGTGAATACTGAATAGTGCCCAAAGTCAAAAACATGTCAACTAAAAAAATGAAACAAAGTATAAGATTGCTTAATGTATCTAAACAAACAACACTGACCTTGGAATTTTGCCATGATGGTATTCTTCCATAATTCATTTGAACTTCTGCATTGGAAAGATACAAGGTGGATTGTTCGTGTAGCTCTTCTCCCTTTCCACTATTGTCATTATCTTCAAAGTCAGATGTTTCCAAGACCATTTCTGAAGGTTCTTTTGCGCCAAAAGATATCCCCTTGATGGACTCCTCTCTTTCTGGCCAATCTGCTCTTCTGCAAACATCCCACCAATGGACGACTTCAGATTTCACCCTTAAGTCATCATCTTGTATCTGCGCCAGTGAGCCCGAACCAGTTCTAGGAGCTGTAACAGTGGTATCTATCCCCATCGATGGGATAAGTCCGTATTGGATAAGATGACCGCAAGGAGAATAAACCAAAAGGTGCTCCAAGGAGCGTCCACGGGAAGAGCCACTAGGCATCGAACAGTGGAAAACAGCAGAAACAGCAGAAGGTTGCGCAGAGCCCATTCCAGCGGCAGAAGATGCAGCGCTGCTAACTGTGTTGAGCCAACCAGAATTACCGGTTCTTATTCTACTAACAACAGAGAGAGTGACTGGAGGTGGTGGAGGAATAGACAAAGACTGCTGATTTACAGTATAAGATGAAGTAGACCACCATGGTAAAGATAGAACAGGGACCAGAGTTGGCCCATCAACGTGAGAATTTTTAACTTGGAGCCCACACTCCCCACCAAAAGGAGACAAAACATATATGTGGCAAGTCCCTTTCGATGAGATGATGGCTACCCATTGGCTATATTGGCTGAAACATATATCTTGAATAACCTGAGAGAAGATCATAAATTAACATGGGAAAAGGCCTTGAGAAGGTGAATCACTAAAATAACGGCACTTAGTACGTCTCTAAACATGTTTCTTAATGGTAAAAAGGAGGTTAATAAAGTGACTAAATTACCACAATATAAATATCATCTGAAAGTTGATTGCGGATACAAAGATGAGCATAGCAACATAGTTAGATGAATATAATAACAGAAGGCAAGATAGCAAACTTCTCTAAAATTTATACTTAATTGTAAAACTCTAATTTTGAGCCAAAAGAAAAATAAGTCTAGAAAAGACATATGAAATAATAGATAAGTAATGAAAGGTTAAAATCAAACATACTGCAGTTGTGAAGCCGCGATGAAGCTTATATAGATGCACGTGAGATGTTGTCCAATTGTAATTCTGACTACCTGTCCCATTCTTTGAGCTGGATGGCATTATCCGGAAGATGTTTATATTATTACCATGGATTGATGCAGTCACCAGAAGCGTCCCGCTAGGATCAAAACAAAGAGCAGAAATTGGGCTCGTGTGAGCCCTAAAGTGTGCTATAACAGCTCTGGAAACAAAATCTTTAACAATAACCTGCAACAATCAACACAAACACATGCAAAATCCATGAGCCAAAGCATGGGAAATGCAAGATCTTTTATACTTTCACTTAAGTATCAAGAAGACTCACCATCCCAGCAGTATCTGTCTCAGGTGAATTAGCTGACGTTTTGTTAACTCTCCAGCCAGAGCTGGAAGTTACAGGAGAATTAGAACCATCAGGAAGAAGTTCATTACAGTACTTGGAGAACGTTTTGTAGCTCATGTCACCAAGATTAATCAGCCCAGCAGCCAACTGCTTGCTCGACTCCATAGCATACCTAGCCACCATATTCCCACCGCTAGGTGATGTTGAAGGGCTTACACCAGGAGAAGGTGTAAGACTTTGGGGACTTAACCGCCCAGTGTTAGTCAGTAAGGGGTTATTAGAAGCATAAGCTAACCACCTGGGACCAACATCCATGGGACCATAACCGACATTTATACCAACCATTCCCAGGCCAGACATTTGAGGGACAGGATAAGTCAAAACACTGAATTTGTTCTCAAGAGTGAGAGCATCAAAGCAGTATATCTGCATATACATAAGAAAGCTGTTATTCAAGGTTCATAAAGGCAAAAATATCTTTCTTATCTTATTTCTCTTCTTTTCCTGTGAAGCACTTGCCTATTTTAAAAAAATACATAGCTAAAAAAAACTTGAGAAAAAATTTTAAAAATATCGAAACCAGCATATTAGTCATCAAACTAGGGTCTATAACAGCCTAAGAATACATCCTACGACCTTCTACACATAAAATGCTTTAAAATAGATAAATAACCATTGCAAATCCACTACTCTTATGGTGATAACACTTGTTTCAGGCTAACAGCTAGCAGTTGCATCCCAAATATTACACAGTCAATAAAACCCAAAAAGAACACGTAGTATAAAAAAAATGCTTAAAATGCAGATAGAACATTCACATGTAAAAACATTCACCAATGAGCTATTATCTCATTAACACAATATAGAAGTCTATCATTACAGTCTGACAAAAGGATCTGATACTCACTTGTGAAGCAAGTCCCACAGCGACAATGCGAGGACTGCATCTAACTGTAAGGACAGAAGAACGAAATCTCAGAACATGTACATAGCTGTGAGACCTCAGCGAATAAAAGCGAACAGCAGTGGGAGAATTGACCACATTCCCTGTCTGTGATTCGATATAGCCATCTCTAACCAGTCCATCTCTTCTCCTTTGAGTGGAATCTGGACCCATTGCTTCATCTCCTGCAGCAACGAAAAGTAAGGGATGTGATGCCCCAAACCCTTCACAACCTTCGGACATTGCAGGGAAAGGCTGTATTTGCAAAAACGTACATGGGCCATCACGCCTTGAAACCAGTTCAGTGACTATAGAGGCATCATCGACATCCAAGACTTGAAAACCATTGGTATAACCAAGCAACAGAACACGCTTAAAGATGGATGGACTGAGTTCTATCTTGTCAAAGCAAGCCCATAGCACCTGTTTTGCCACAATAAGTTGAAATTATAATTAATTATCAGACATGCCACACAAAGTAATAAATCACAAAAGCAGTATCCATCAAACAAAAATAAATTGAACCAAATGTAAGGTTTGGAGAAAAAAGAGGAAACACAAGCAGCAGAGAAACTAAATTTGATTCCTAGTTTCTCTTTTATACTTGATTACCTTATTCTTGGTTTTTTTACCTGATTACCTTATTCTTGGTTAGGAATTAACACTAATTGCTTTTAGACCAAATTATAGATGTATATCTTACAGATGCTTAAGTGTCAACTCCCTACCATGCATTGGTGATCTCTATAAGTGTAACTCTAGATTCTACAGTTGTGCTACAAAGACTCTTCACATAAGTATCATCTTAGAGTGCCTGTTTTGATAATTTAAATTAAAACTGTGCAAAACTCTACATGAAGATACGCAGCAACAAAGCATATTTGCAGTCAACTTCATCCAATACAGCTCCAAATATACACTGCTTCGATTCTAATGAATCTCGAAATCCAGTAGGTGAAAATACAATTGCCAAATATGAAAATTCAGAGTCTCATACAGCTCCCTGCCATGCATTGGTCAATATGACAGCAGTAATTGATCAAACACAGACATAAGAGTCATTTCCAGAAAATTAAGGAAATATTGCACTATTGCAGCAAATATCAGTCACTGGTATAAAGATTGTACCTAAGGGTTAGAAAAAGTAAAAAATCACGGCTCTCTAACTTCAAAATACCAAGCCAAAAAGCTATTCCACCAATTTCTCATCCAAGTTACCCATTGCCAGCCTGAAGATGTCACCCATGCAGGCTAAATAACAAGTATGAAAGTTTAGACCATTGACAACGACAATGTGTATGAGACCAGTGCCACCTAGGAAAACAATACACAATATATGATAATATAACAAGCAAAGCATACAGGTTGTATAGGGTCTCCTCTACTGCAAATTCACAATTGGAATTTGAAAAAAATGTTGACCACCAATCTATCAAGAAAAAACAATTAAGACCAATCTAAAATTCTAAATCACACAAAGAAAATGTGAAATCCTCCATCAACCAACCCATAAATAAGTCATCTCTCTATAAGACTATTCCTTTTTAGGCCATGTCTAATGTCCACTGAACAGAAGTCTATTAGAAATATGGTAAAAAAAAAAATGCATATCTTACCTTCAGGGAGAAGTTATTGCTGGAAGCACAAATCCCACACTTCCCGAAACTTTTAAAGAAGGCATTAATATAATATAGGTTCATGGATAGCACTTATCCATATGCAACAGGATTGAATTTCAACGCATCAGCAACAGAACAATTTCAACACAGAACACGCGACTTTGGGTTGCGATTAGAAAGCAACTTGTAAGGAAAGGTAGACCTGATCAAGTGCAGAATTCCAGCCCAAGAACAGATTACAAGCAGCTTAAGAAACTTCAAATGCATAAACTCCCAGCAATGTGTCAAACCCTATCACTACACCACGATTTCGCCCCAGAAGTAAACTCCAATGAACGACATAACCCGAACCCAAAATGAAACATCTAAACTTGTAAATCAACACAAGTCACCAACAAGCATAATTCATCAAACCCACACCTAACAACAAACAAAATTTACCCAAAATCCACCAAAAATTTCCCAATTTGCAACCCATTTCCTTGATCAATCATTCGATCATCTAATCATTCTCTTCTTACCAAAACAACAAAAGCCCATTTCATTGATTGCTCCCAAAAACTTCAAATCACAACCCAATTTCCCCAATTCCCCAAATGGGTCATAATCAAACATCCCAAAACACAACTTGATCATCCCAAAAAAACATAAAAATTACACAATCCCTAGCATAAACTAACTACTAATTACCATCACATTTTTTTCTTGGAACTAAAAATCAACCACTAATCCAATCAACAAGAACTAAATCGCAGTAATTAAACTCAAAATTAATCCCAAAACAAAAATAATCTCAAAATTAATCAATCAAAGAAAAAACACCAACCTGGTCTTTGATGTCATTAGAATCAGAAGAAATGGAAGCGGCAACGGAGGCACTAGCTGACCGGACACCGGAAGAGACGGTTTTGATACAAGATGAGATGAACTTGAAAGAATTACGGCTAAATCCATTCGTTTTATTATGAATACCCTTTGTTTGCTGATGTTTCATTTAATAGAAATTTCCTTAAAAGAAGAAAAAAGAACTAACTAAAAATGAAAAATTTTAAAAAATTAGTTCCTACTTCAAGAAATTAACGGTACCCTTTTCACCGATAACCGGGTAGTTACCGGAAAGTCATATGATATGTCACCGGAAAAGTTACCGGCGGTGATGATTATGATTAGAAAGAAGGTGGGTGAAAGAAGAGAGAAATATTTTGATGGGGTTGTCTTGTTTTTGTGGGTTTGTTGGGTTTGACGGTTTGACCTCTTTTGTTTAAATCAGGGTTCATCTTTCAATCCATCAATCTTTCTTTCTCTCTCTAACTTTCTCTCTCTAGAAATTAAATACGAAGTAAATAAATTAATTAATTGTTAGTTTTTTTTTTTTTTTTTTTTTTGAAGGCAATTAATTGTTAGTTTAATTAATTTGATTTATTTTAGTTTAGTTTCTTATACTTCAAGGACTTATTCTTTGGGTTTTTTTTTTTTTTTTTGGGGGGTTTAATTGTTGCTTATAAAGGACTAATTAATCTCTAGTGCAAGTTTTGTTAATTGCGGAATTAGCAAGTTTGGAAATGTGGCCAATATTAGGTTTTTTTAAAAGGGTGATAAATGTGGCCATTTTGGGAAACTATGATGACATTTTTTTATTAATGTGAAATTACATAAAATGGTCCATTTTAGTTTGGATTTTCATTAACTTTTTGGTAACAGATTTAATTAACTTTTGAAAACTAGTTTAGGAGTATAATCTTATCTATTGGGGAGTTGGGATTTTGGGTAGAAATCACTTGTCAACTAAATTTCTTTATTTGTGATAAGATTAGCTTTTTGAATGATTTTACTACCAATGACATGTACTATTTGTGTTGGTGAGTTCAAAAGGGGTTGAAAAGTTCATTCTTCATCTCTTCTTATTGAAATGTCTCATGCATTGGAAGTGTTTGTATTATAATTTCTAGTTAAGTACTCTAAGATAATGCCCATGCCCCATACTGACTTAGGTACTTAGGTAGTGTTTAATTTCACCTAAATTTCAATAATCTTAAATTATCTTAACTAATTAGTCTTGAACTTATCTTATTTGAATTTATTAGCCCTAAATTTTTTTTTGTTGTTCTAGAGGCTGCCACCTTACGACCAACCTTTTGGTTGATGGTAAGTTCCTGATTCTTTTTTTTTTTTTTAACTAAGGTCCTGTTTGGCAAAATTAGCGGTAATAGATAGCTTTTAGCGGTCGAGTAGCGGGTAACTGTTAGACTAGTGAGTAGCTGTCAATTAGTAGTGAGTAAAGGTTAACTGTCAATAATGTAAGCAGTTAATAGTATGAGTGTTTGGTAAAAAATAGCAGTTGAAATGTTAAAATACTGTAAAAATACATGCATAATGATTAGGGGATTTTTATCCACCAATCACCGTCTGACAAGTGGACCAACCAGGTTCCGCCACGTGTCCTTCACGAAGGCCAATAGGAGCCTGCCACGTGTCAATCACAGATACGTCCTCTACGGACCAATTGAGACACACCACGTGTCCACCCATGCCAAATGGGAAAACCGGCCAACAAGGCCCAATCCTGTCTAGAGGCCCGGTCAGCCCTAGGTTTACCCTAAACCTAGAGAGTGGCACGCTTCTCAAGGCTATAAATACTTAATTAATCCTCATTAATTAAGCAATCCAGAGATCAAGAAATCAAGAGAAGAACAGAAACATTACGGAACACTAATAACCGGCTAATCTCGCTAACGACGCAGATTACCAACATTAAACACTCTCACCTAGAGAGATCTTATTACTTTAATTTCCGTATTAATTACTCCTTAATCAGGTACTAACTTGACCGTTGGAGGCGGAGCTCTCAGGAGTCTCCGTTATTTTGCAGGTACAGGCGTCCGGTTCCAGTCTCGGAATTGTAACTCTCCCGCAGGACATCAGAAAACCCCGAAACATTTGGCGCCGTCTGTGGGGAGAGTACTTCAGAGATGGCATCCAAGTCTGTACCGACTCCAGAAGAGAGGCGTCCCCTAGACGACCCTCAAGTTCAGTCGAACCATGATACCGAAAGTGAATTTGAAGTGGAAACTCATACAGCTCCAGACGGGACCCTAAGGGCCCGACGTACCCGTCATACCGAAAGGAGGGAACGGGAGCATCTTCAAACAGGAAGCGAGCCAGCAGGCGCACCGCCTGCTCGGCAACAGCCAACTAATGGGTCTGCTCCCATCACAAGGAACGAACTCATGACCTTCATGAGGGACTTCAAGGGAGAGATTCAGGAGTTGATCAACAAAAAGCCGCCTGCTTCAGTCAAATAGCAGTCGGCCAAAAAACCTTCCACTTCACTGAAGAGGAAGCCAGTTCAAGGGCGAGAGGCGACTCCTCATCCTAAATCCAAGAAGCGGGAGCCACCTGCTCTTGATTTCACAAAACTCCGTTATCCTACGGGAAATAGGAAACCGGTTCGTCATATTCAGGCGGACGGGTCAAAGCAAACGTTCACAGATGCTCGGCTACTGCTAGAGCAGAAGAAGAGTGACCGATTGTCAGAGTCGGCTTCTACTTCAAATTTTCAAGACAGTTTGCGAAATGCCTCGATGAGGCATACTCAGTCGTACCATGAGAGTCAGTCAGGCGGCACCTCCCGTCAGTCCGGCTTTCATAGTGCCCAGGCGGTACCAAACTTACCATTTGTGCCGCAACAACAGTACTTTATGCAGCCACCTCCATTTGGTGGACCTGCAGCAAAAAACGTCCAACCTATGGACTGGCAGCTACGGCTGCTTAGACTTGGTGAACAGCCGTCGGCCTTCTCCAAGGAAATTACTGAAGCCGCTCAGCCGGCCAAAGTAAAAAATGTACTAGTAGGCGCCTATGACGGCACTACTAATCCAGAAGACCATCTGATGGCATTCACCAACCTGATGTACCTTCAAGGGTTGGATGATCCCACTTGGTGCAAGTGTTTCCCAGCGACTCTCAAGGGAATCGCACAGCAATGGTTCGGCAACCTGCCGACTGGTTGTGTAAACAGCTTCAGGACGCTTGCTTACTTATTTGCCTCCAACTTCGCTATGAACATCCCTGCGAAGAAAACGACCCTTGATTTGGGAACAATTCAGCAGGGCGAGAAGGAGGGGCTTCGTTCTTACATCAGGCGGTTCAACCTGATGAGAATACAGATTCAAGGGTTACCGGATGAGGTAGCTTATACTGACTTTTTTAGAGGTCTCAAAGACGGGTCTACCTTCAAATTTGATTTAGTTCGAAAAAGGGTGGCGACTCTTCAAGAGGCCTTGATTGAAGCAGAAGCCTATATACAGGCGACTGATCTGTGTACGATAAAACAGTCGGACGGGAAAAGGTTCGACAAAAGAGAGGGACGACAGAAACAGTCGTCCAATAAAGATGAGAAAAGAAAAGAGGTCTGGGCGGCTGATTCCTCTAAACAGCCGGCCCAGAAAAAGAAAAAAGAATTCAAACCATACTCCCCAAAGTATGTGTTTAACAAGGATAACCAGTTTATCCTAAAAGAAATAAAGGGACGGTTCTCAATTGAGAAGCCGCTCCCCATGAAGGGTTCTGCAAACAACCGGAACCAAGACAAAATCTGTGCTTATCATGATGACGTTGGTCATCACACCAATGACTGCATCAGTCTCATGCGGTACCTAGACCGCTTGGCTGAGCAAGGTGATCTTGACACTTATGTCAAAAAATCTACGGGGAACACTTCCTTAAAAAAGCAGTCGGCCAAAAAGAATCAACAGGCCGACAGTTCCGATACAGATGATGCAGTCGTCTACACCATTGCAGGCGGCTTCTCAGGAGGCGGCCCCACTATTAGGGGCAACAAAGATAATATAAGGCGGTTAGATGTAAAGAACGGCCGTCCAAATATACATTTCCTGAGATTGTCATCACTGAAGAGGATCTAGGAGGGGTAAGGGGGCCGCATGACGACCCTCTCGTTATTGAATGTAAAGTGGCCAACCAGAGAGTTGGCCGAATCCTCATAGATACCGGGAGCTCCTCAGATCTCATCAGCATCAAATGTCTGTCAAAACTGAAATATCAGACGGACTGCATACATCCGGCCTCCCACCCTTTAATAGGGTTTGGAGGAGGAGTCGTCCACCCACTGGGACGAGTAGATTTACCCATTCGCCTGGGCGAAAAAGGGGAAGGACGACACATGGTAGTCCGGTTCCTAGTAGTAGAGGAACTCTCGGCCTACAACATGATTCTGGGTCGACCAACCCTGAATAATTCCAAGGCTGTTATAATCCCGTCTCTTATGCTGCTTAAGTTTGAGAGGGATAATGGAACAGTCGGCTCCCTAAGGGGAGATCAGAGGATGGCCCGAGAGTGCTATCTCTCGGATGTCAAGCCCACTGTTATGGCCACTGGGTCAAGTGGAGAAAAAACAGACCTTGACAATGTCAAGGAGAGTGCGCCTGTTCAAGAAACAGGCGACAAAAAGAGAAAGGCGTCCCAGACAGAGTCCGCAAGAAAAGCAAGAAAATAGCAATCATTGGCAGAGGAGCGGCCGGATGAGTTCCGCCCTCAGCCGGCTGGTGAGCATGCGGACCTGATATTAGACGACTCACGTCCTGACCGAACAGTCAAAGTTGGGACGACTGCTATGAGAAACCTTGGTGACGACTTTCACAACCTGTTGAAAGAATACAAGGACATCTTTGCATTTGAAGTCCATGAAATGCCAGGCATTAGTCCTGATCTGGCAGTACATAAACTCGCTGTGGATCCGAAAAAGAAGCCGGTACGGCAAAAGAAGCGGAACCATGGTGAAGAAAGAGGTCAGGCGGCAGCCGCCGAAGTCAAAAAATTACTTGATGCAGGGTTCATTCGGCAATGTTACTTCCCAGACTGGGTTGCAAATGTGGTGCTTGTTAAAAAGCCGAATGGCACCTGGCGAATGTGTGTAGACTACACAGACTTGAACAAGGCGTGCCCCAAAGACAGTTACCCTCTGCCTAAAATTGATAACCTGGTCGACTCAACAGCGGGTCATGCCTTGATGAGTTTTATGGACGCCTATTCTGGTTTCCATCAAATTCCCTTATGGAAGAAAGATCAGGAGAAGACGGCCTTCGTCACTGATCAGGGGTTATACTGTTACACGGTCATGCCGTTTGGTCTTAAGAATGCCCCGGCTACCTTCCAACGAATGATAAACACAGTGTTCTTTGATCAGATTGGGAGAAACGTCGAGGCATATATTGATGATATGATTGTCAAGACTAAACTTCAGAAAGATCATCTGACGGACCTCCGAGAAACTTTCGCCACACTCAGGCGGCACCATGTCATGCTCAATC